AGAAAATCATCTATCGAACGTAAAGATACGATTTTACTACCATTCGATTCGTCTTGATGAGCTGATTCCAATGAGCTATAGATCGTCTTGATTGGATCAGTAGATAGCGAGATATTCTTAAATTACTATAATTATTCAAATTTAAGAGCGTAAACTTTTGTAATATTACGTTTTTAGTGTAATATTTCGAAATTTTACACCACCTTCGAAATATTACACTAAATTACGCCTAAACAAATTTCCTGATGTAGATATTAAACAGATTAGATTGATGAATAACAGATTATCTGCAGGTTGAACACTATATAAGTGCATTCTTTATAAATGCACATACTATATAAATTTTCTTTTAAGTGCATGATGAACTTGGTTCTAATTTATAAGAGCTTTTATTATTCCTATAAAAAGTTTTTATACTTAAAATATACTTAAAATTTTATTAAAATATACTTAAAATAAGTATTAATTTTAATTTATAATATACTTATAATATGCTTAAAGTTATACTTTTAATATACTTGATTTTTGCCCAAGTATTTAAATTATACTTAAAATATATTTAAACTAGAATTTAAGTACAATATAATTGTATTTTTTACATGTTTAAAATATTCTTAAAATGTGCTTTAAGTATATTTTAAATATATAAAAAATAATAGCTAGTTTAGTTCTTCTACTTTATCTAGTAAATAGTAGAAAAAATCCAGTGAGAACATTAAAATAAAAGCTAAAAGCTAACAGTTATATATACTGAAAAAAAAAAATTTTACAATTATGACTAAATATGAATCTGTTTTAAAAGACAATATCTATAAAATAATCATATATAACTGAATCTCCTCTTTATTTAGTTCTAATTTAATATTCTGAATTATCTTAAAGAATAAGATCATATGATCACGATAAAATTAAAATTATAAAAGAAATATATTATATTTACTGTATTGATTGACTTTAATCAAATAGTCTTAAAATATTAGAATAATGAAGTATAGATTGTTCTATTAAGAGGAACACCAGTATGATAATTTTCAGCAATCTGAAATTTGAAGTAACATAAAGAATGCAAGAAATTTAGGCTGTTTTAATGAATATTTCCAAATTTGTGGTGATAAATGTATTTATCATGCTGATAATTCAGCCCAATTATTGCTTACATTAATGGAATGTAAAGCATTTAAAATTGTTTAAAACAAAATGCACTATAAATTAATCACATATTACAATTTCTATTAGATAGACTTAAATAAGATTACAAATATTTATATAAATTTAATAATATATAAAAGTGGTATTTTATGCTGGTTTTGAATAAATCTAAAAATAGACCACTAAAGGAGGATTTCAACTATAAGCAGAACTAAAGTGATAATCTGAATATTATGCATAAGGTTTTAGGTAATAAAAAGCAGAAAGGAAAGTCTTTGGAAAACTGAAAATGGATAAAAAATAAAAAGACTTTAACAATATAAATAAACTTACAGTTTTAACTGAGATTCATTTCTTATTAAAAAGACTTATATACTAATAGGTAAAGCTCTGAACGGTTCAGTTCAGTTCCATTTTTCGATTCTTTTCTGATTGGTCAGAATCCGTTTTGCGCAATAACTCGCCATCCAATGATCGTAGAAAGATGCACCATAGCTCGTTGGAATCGTCTCATAACGATGAGTCGAATGGTTGCTAATCGTCTTTCTACGATCACTGGATGCCGAGATATTAAGCGAAACGTCAAAAATCGGCATTTTGTATTTTGCGATACTGCGCCATTTGACGTTTCACTTAATAACTCGCCATCCAATGATCCTAGAAACCCGATCTATAGCTCGTTGAAATCGTCTCGTCGAGACGGTTCGAATGGTACCAAAATCATCTTTCTAGCATCAATAGATGGCGAGTTATTTTTTGAAAAATTGGCAAAATTAACTCGCCATCTATCGATGCTAGAACGATAATTTTGGTACCATTCGAACCGTCTCGACGAGACGATTCCAACGAGCTATAGATCGGGTTTCTACGATCACTGGATGGCGAGTTATTGCGCAAAATGGATTCTGACCAATCAAAAAAGAACCAAAAAATAGAACCAAACCGAACCGTTCGGAGCTTTACTAATAGGATAATTGTACAAGCTTGGCTAATTATAGACAGAGCAAATAGAATATTATAGTGGTTACTTTATACTTAAAATATATATATATTTTTTTTATTTTTATAATTTTTACCCTAGCTTTTTTTTTATTATTACTCTTTTTTTAAATTTGGGTTTCATGTTGCAGTTATAGTGAGTCTTTTGAGTATTTACAGGTGTAAACTGGAAGAAAGGAATTCCTCTAAAAAAGGTTATTTCAAACAATACTTACTTTTCTAACTAGAGTTTTCAACTGATATAGGATCTTGAACTCTTGATTGATGATAGGAGGTTTAATGCTTAATAAATTAGATTAGAATTTACTAGTTTTTTTATATATGAATAACTGGTTTTATGTTTATTTTTTCAAATAAAGTATTAAATATGCTGCTGCTAACTTTTTTAAAAAAAATAAAAAGCTAATATTAGTAAAGTTTAATGCTATTATTTTTTTTAATTTAATATATTATTAATATGTAGAAAATCCTAGTGTTTTTTTTTTTAATATTAAATATTTTTTGAAAATTCCTATTGTATTTATAATTTTTTACCCAAAAAATTACTTGATGTAAAACATTATACCATATTTTATTAAAATTAAGTACTTTTATTTTGCAAAAATTTTAAGCAAAAAGTCTGAAGTAATGTATTAGTAATATATATAACTTTGCATAATTTGAAAAGTTTAGGAAATGCTTATTTTTAAGATTTCATATAAGAATTAGAAACAAAAATAAGGATATAATAATTTCCATAATTTTGGAATCCAACATTCCTATGCAATATTAGAATTAGTAATCAAGATTAATAAATATATTATTTATCTTCCTTTTGAATTAATATAATTTATTTTAAATTGAAGATAGTTAATGAATTTTTATACATTTTGGATTCCATTTACTAATAAGGTATAATAGTAATTCGCATGAATTGCAATTAAGGATTTTCATAAATCAACCAGGTGAATTAAGAAATTTGTACCAAATACCGTATTTGATTGATATTAAGAACTCCACCTTCACATATAAGCACCTTTTGATGATATCTCAGTCGATATTAATTTAAAAATTATAAATTTTGTACCTTTAAATTCGTCAAATTCAATTAACTAAATTTTATTTTTTTATAATCATTAGATCACGAGATATATTCAAATACGGTATTAAAAATAATATTTAGTTTTTACTTATAAAAAAAAGTTCAAATTGACAAATAATTTTATTAGGTTTCATTTCTTAAGAAAAGTAGCAAATTAATCAAAATAAGAACATATAAACTATATTAAATATTTCTTCTCGACATAATAAATATTGAAGGTCCTTATGATCACAAACGATCAACGTTTCCTAAATCACGACAAGCTTCTTGAACACGTTTAGTCATAGTTTTTTCAGCTTCACGAATAAAAACACGAGGATCATAATATTTTTTGTTTGGTTTATCTTCACCTTCAGGATTGCCAACTTGAGATTGGAGATAACCTTTTTTACCCTCATAATAATTTTTAATACCTTCCCAATAAGCCCATTGAGTATCAGTATCAACATTCATTTTGATAACACCATAACTAACAGCTTCTTTAATTTCATCTTTAACAGAACCGCTACCACCATGAAAAACAAACCAAATAGGTTTATCGGTTTTACTACTGAGTTGTTTTTTAACATACTCTTGATGCTTTTTAAGTAAATGAGGAGAAAGTTTAACATTTCCAGGCTTATAAACTCCATGAACATTGCCAAATGCAGCAGCAATAGTAAACATATCAGAAACTTTACTCAATTCACGATAAACATCCCAAATGTCTTCAGGTTGTGTATATAATGATGCATTATCAACTCCCGTATTATCAACACCATCTTCTTCTCCTCCTGTAATACCAATTTCCATTTCTAATAATAGATTGATTTTTGACATACGTTCAAGATATTTTTTACAGATTGCGATATTATCATCTTTCGGCTCTTCCGAAAGATCCAACATATGCGAACTGAAAAGTGGTTCTCCATGTTTTTTAAAATATTCTTCATCGGCTTCTAGCATTCCGTCAAACCAAGGTAAAAGTTTCTTGGCACAATGATCAGAATGCAGGATAACTGGGCTATGATCGTATCAAAAAAAAACAAAAATAGATACATAAATAAGTAAATAAAATAAAATGAATTTATTTCATAAAAGAAATTAGAATTTTTTACTAACTTACATCCCGTACTCTTTTGCGACAAGTCTAACGTGATGGGCAGCGGCAACAGCTCCGATAATACTAGCTCGTTGTCCGTCGTTACTTAAACCTTTACCAGCATAATAAGCCGAACCACCTTGAGAAAGTTGGATAATAAGTGGTGCTTTGATATCACGAGCAGCTTCCAAAGCTGCATTAACTGTTGAAGAAGAAGTACAATTCACTGCTGGAATAGCAAAACCTTTATCGCTAGCGTAATTTAACAATTTACGAACATTTTCTCCAGTGACAACACCAGTTGGAATACCAAGTTCTTTACAAGCCATTATTAAAGTATTCACAAAAAAAAAAAAATGGTTTTGTAAACGAAGGATTTCCGTATTTTTATAGTTAATTAAATTCTCACGCCATTCATAATCTGATGTGATTAAAGATAAAAAATTTTTTCTGATCACTAAAAATTTCGTCGCACAATCGATAATGATGAATTCAATTTTATCTAAAATGATGTGCATTATCACATGATTCTCTAATTTCACTATACACAAACGCAAGGACAAATTTATCCTGAACCGGGGTCCAGGTTCTTTATCCTAAACCCCCTATATAAATAAGTTGGACTTCTTATACGATCACGTGCTATTTCTTATACGATCAAATTATGCAACAATATGCACCCCTTTTTATGGCAAAAATTACCTTCTTGTCCCGCCGGCGATAATTGATAGTGATAAACAAAAAAGAAATATTTTGAAAATAACTTGTTAAAATCAAATTTTGTTCTCTTATCTGTTAATATTTATCTATTTTTTACAATTTTATCAAGTTTTACAATATATAATAATGTTTTGATATAAAATATTAAAAAAAAAATAAGTACTGTATTATTTTTTCATTAAGTATTATATTAATGTCTTGCAAAAAAATTCTTTTTGTGTCTATACTCTACTCTTGTAAAAGAAAAAAAATAATGAAATAACAACGCGTTAATGCTTTTATTTTCAGGTCAAGAAAAGAATATGTTTGTCATACAATATCTGAAGTCCAAGAAAGATACAAGGGGTGCATTTCAATTTGTCGGTGATGCTGAACGGTTAGAAAATAAAAAATTTGGATAAATTGAATCCTGTACTATCAAATAATTCGAGATGTGATTTTTATCTAATAAAACTTTTTTTTAATTTTTTTTTGAATAAATATTGAATAACTTAACTATGTGATTATATCTATTAAAAATGATGTTCCAAATACAATAAAATGATTGAAAATATTACAAATACATATTCTCGCTTTTTTTAAACAATAATTTAACTAAAATTTTTTAAATAAATTAATATATATAAATAGTTTGAGAATTTTTTGTTTTTGGTTTTTTTTAAGTTAAAAAAGGGTAATTTTATTCATTTTAATAATTATAATTATACTCGGATTCCTCGTCCAGGTGATGACGTGGTTCTTTGCTGTTTTCGACTTTTATCAAAATAATAATTTAGAAGGTTTTGTTGAGCTGCGTTTAAACTACCAAGATACTGGAATAATGTATTATCGTCCCCAATTACTGAATAAATTGCAACAAGTGCATCGACTACCGATTTTCGAATTTCGGGTTTTGGATCGCTGAACCCCTATAACATTTAATGAAAGTAAAATTTGAATATTATGACATGAAAAAAATTCAAGTACAATATACGTCAACTTACTTTGATAGTTAGTGGCACAATACTTCCAACTTGTCTTTCCAACGATTTTTTATCAAATCTTTTTACCAATTTTGATAAAACTACAAAAGCAGATCCTTTCATGCTTGCCTTTGATCCTAATTGTGGAGAGCTACTACTCGGTAACGACGAACTTCCGAATGTATTAAAAAAATTTGATTCCATTATATCAATTAATGCGTAAAGTCCGACATTAGCATCTACTATCTGGATATAATTATCTAAAATATCATCGGCCTGTCCGCATACCTGTAGATAAAAAAAAAAGATTAATAAACAAATATTGCAAATGTTATTTCTATTGTGATTCGTATAATAAAAATAATGTACCGCTGGATCAGCCCGACATTCTAATAAGACTCTTAATATATCTCTTTCTTGACTTCTGGTATAATCTGATTGATTATTAATTAATTGTCCAAGTAAAATTACTGCACCCTCCTTTAATTCATTATTTGGCTATAAAAATTAAAATAAATAAATATCGCAGAAAATTAATTACTAAACAAAATAAACAAATGATTAATTAAATACCTGTTCTAAATCACTCAGGAAACCCATTAATGCATTGATTAGCTCGACAAATCTATCTCCACTCTCCCATATATCCTCCGCCAATTCCTTATTTGATAACGGCGTCTCTTTGGATATTATAATTAGCTTGCGAAATAAATGGACGTCAGTATCGTGATCATGTAAGCGAGCCAATAATGTCGCAAGCAATAAACGTCTCTCTTGAGCAGCACCAGGAAGTGGTGACCCAGGATTAAAACCTGCCAAAACAAAATTCGTAATGAAAATAAGTCAAATTTGATACAGAGATTAATTCATGAATTAAAAAAAAGTGTATACTAACGTTGAGCTCTTCTTAAAGCTCTGTCTCGTGCACCAAATATTGAAGAATTACCACTATCCACAGAAGATGCGGGTGATGCAGGTGATGGTACTTCAACTACTGCAGAAATATTGTTTATGGGCATATTAGTAGGTGATGATTCTTTTGGAACAGATATAGTATTTTTCGGGGAAACAACTGATACATCAGTTGCTGAAATTTCTTCTATTATTTCTGAATCTGTATTTTGTAATACTGTCTCTGAAGGTTGTTCCATAACCGTTTCTGAAACATTTGACAGTTTTGGTGATGTAGCTAATGTATCGTGTGAATCAATTATTGGAGAAGTGGGAGGTGATGTTTGAAGTGAATCATCATCAAGGGACTTGGATTTTTCTTCAATATGCGTCGGTTCTGGAGTTTCAACTTCTTGTATTGGTGCTAATTTTGCATCTACTCCATTATTATCGGTTTTGAATCGTTCTTCGGGATTCAAATATAATGGATTTATATTACCACCATTCAATGTATTCGCTAGTTGAGCCCACGTATCTTCGGTAATGAAGATACTCGTTGGTCGACTTATTGTCATGTCAACAAAATTATCCGGAACATTTTCCTAATATGAATTGTTCTTAATAATAAATATTAAATGCGAATAAGACAAAATTGAGTAACAAATGCTTTACCTCATGTATACTATCTTCCTCTCTATCCAGTTTTTCTACAAGTTCCTTTAGATTTTCTAGCTCGGGATCCTTATCATCAAACTCTTGATAATCATGTGGTAATGGTGGTAACGATACAATACGACCTGCTGGTTTATTCATTTGGTCTCTTTCTTTGATATTTAATTTCTCAGATTGATTTAGATCAAACTCGCTTATAGTATCTTCATCTTCTTCATGGCCTTCACTTGGTCTATCTGTATTTTCAGTCCAATCACTATCTCTTGACCTACGTCTACCTTTATTTATCAATTCAGAACCTCGTTCAGGTGTCTTGCCATTGTCACGATAAATATTTCTTTCATCCCAGTCATTTCTACGTGGGTCCTTCTGCGATGCCTTTAAACTTCTCTCATCCCACTCATTCTCCTTCGAAATTCTGGGGGATGGCCTCGTATTTTTACCTTCCAAACTTTCCCTAGACTCTTTCGGCCGAAGTCTATTCATTCTATCGTCCCATTCATGATCTCTCCTTGGAGAAGGTTGACTGGATTTTTCATCCCAGTCACTTTCTCTTATGTCTCTCGGTAATGATCGAACGCTTCTTTCTTCCCAATCATTATCTCTTAAATCTCTTTCTCTTCCAGAAGATCGACTACTAACTTCGTCCCAATCGTTCTCTCTCAGATCTCGTTCTCTCGGTATAAGTCGATCAGCTTTATCATCCCAATCAGTTGATTTTGAGCTTCTAAGCGAACGTTTTCCATTTAATCTTTCATCTGAATCGCTTTGGTTAGAGCCCCTAGGGAAAGGACGTCTATCTCTTCCATCCCATTCTTCTTCGCGTAAATCTCTTAGGAATCGTTGATTCCTACCATCTAATTCATGTTCCCTTAATTCTCTGGGTGCCCTCCTGTCCTTTTCATCGTATTCGTATTCTCTACGTCTATCTCTTTCACTCCAACTATTTTCCTTATGAGGGGTTTTTTCTCTAAACATTCGACTTTTTTCATCCTTTGCTGGTCGTCTACCTCTCTCATTCAATTCAAATTCTCTTCGCCTATCTTCATATCTATCATCTTTTTCATATACATCAGACATATGCCTTTCCCTTTCATCCCAATTACCACTGTCTCTATACATTCGCCTTTCATATTCACTCTCTCTCGTTGGAGTTTTTGTCCTCCTTATTCTGTCAATATCTCTTGCATGTGGATCAGGCCACTGAGGTTCAGCAGTTTTTGGTCGGTTTCTTCGTGCCCATTCTTGTTCTTTCGAAATTTCTTTTTGATTTCGTAAGTCATCTCTTTGCATTAAATGTGGTGCTCTTTGATTTTCCATCCAATCATTAATATTGTCTTTTATGTTATTTTTACGGGTATCTTGAGGTGGAAATTTATTTGACGACTGGAGCTGCAATGGAGGAGGCCTCTGGGCATATAAATGTGATTGCATTTCTCTCTCATATTCACGCTCACGTAACTCATATTCGTGTTGCTGTTGCAATTCGATTTCACGCTGTTGTTGTAATTGTTGTAATTCTGCTTCACGTTGCTGCTGTATTTCAAGCTCTCGTTGTTGTTGAAGTTCAAACTCACGTTGTTGTTGAGCTTCAAATTCGCGTTGTTTTTGAATTTCTAATTGCTGTAGTTCAAATTCGCGTTGTTTTTGAATTTCTAATTGCTGTAGTTCAAATTCGCGCTGTTTTTGAATTTCTAATTGCTGTAGTTCAAATTCGCGTTGCCGTTGCTGCAATTCCAGCTCTCGCTGTTGCTGTAATTCCAATTCGCGCTGTCGCTGCAATTCAAGATCACGTTGTCTTTGTAATTCTCGCTCCTTTTGCTTTTGTAATTCGAGCTCTTGTCTTTGCTGTTGTAATTCACGCAATCGCTGTTGCTGTAATTCACGTTCACGTTGTTGTTGCAATTCTCGTTCTTTTTGCAACTGTATTTCACGCTCACGTTGTTCTTGTAGTTCACGTTCACGTTGTAATTGTGCCTCACGATCGCGTTGCTTTTTCAGTTCTCTTTCACGTTGTTGTCTTTCTAATTGCTCTTTCCGTTCTGCAATCACTTGCTCCTCATACATACGCCTTTCTAACTGCTGTTGTTCCCATTCTCGTTCTTGTTCTTCCTTAAGCTTTGCTTCTTCCTCAGCTAAAACTTCTTCTTCAGCTTCATCTAATTCTTCCTCCCATCCAACCATATTACCTACTAAATCTACTATTTTGTTATCGAAAGTAAATAAGATCGTTTCAAATGAATCGGGATTTAATTTATGTAAATTTACCAATAACGTGCTGAGAGGCTGATAATTCTCCGATGTCTCCTTGGTATTATTTGCTAGTGGAATAATTCGGTTGGTAAGAAGTTTATATTTTTCAGAGTCCCCTAAATATCCAGTAAGCTCTTGCTCATTTTCAACAATCGATAATTTTGGTTCGATTATTTCATTTAACCATAATAGAAGTCCGTTCAAAATTTTACGTTTTTGTGGCAATGTAAATACAGGTCCCGCAGACGCTTTTTTTGGCGTCAATACAGGATTTAGTAATGATAAACATTTATTTAGACCTCCAAGAGCATACTCGCTTCCGATAGAATTCTTCACTCCAGGAAAAAGATTTTGAATTAAAATCGATTGTTCCGATTTACTATCGTCATTAACAATTAATAAAAGCTTTGGTATTAAATTTTCAAGACGAATAACTCTTGCCAATTCAGGAATAACACTAGGATCCAAAAAAGTTTCGATAACTTTAAGATTTGGATCATGTAACATATTTAGCAATACTGGAGACAATTCTTCATCAGATTTTTTGAAATCGTTTGTTGGAGATGGTTCTAATGATCTTTTTACTACTGATTGGGCCACATTAAATAATCCTTCAAGTCGAATATTCCAATCACTATGTTCTAATTGTTCAATAATTGTCAGCTCTCTGGGTTGCATTTGTGGGGGATTAGGCGAACCTTTTTTGCTTTGTGAAGAACTTGAAGGCTTCATAGATGATTTTGTAGGTGAATTGTTGATTGTCGAAATATTGTTTGCGGATTTACTTCTCATTGAAGGTGGTGCAGGAGATTTTGAACGCAATGCTACTTGTGGCTTTGCAGACTTTTGAGGTTCTTTTACGTTTCTTGGTGAATCATTTAGCATTTGATTGTCATTCGCAATACTATCCGATTGTGGAATACTAAGTCGTCTTGATTTACCCATACTTGAAGATCTACCTCTTGGAGCGGGTGTTATTGATCGTCTTGGTGGTGATGATGTTATCGTTGGTGAGGATGTTATTGAAATATTTCTTGATCGATCGCGTTCTACCTTTTTTTTTACTGCAGGTTCCAAATTTTTCAAAATCCTACACATATTTTAGCCAGATTAAACTTTTATTTTGTGTTCAAAACTACAATGAAAACGCGTTGTAACAAAACGACATACTTTTCTCCTCTATCTGGCCAGACTTCATAAAATGTCCAAAAAACTTCACGACATCCTTCTCTTACTTTGGGTGCAGCATCAGTTAAGCCCTTTCGAACACATTTTTCTAGTGATTCTACACCACCGGATCGCTCCATTGCATCTCTTCGATCAACATGTGCTTGAATAACTGTTTTCACAAATCCGATAGCATGAGTTCGTAATTGAGTATTCTTATCTTCCATTGCATGCCAAATTTGAGTTACAAGTCTAGCATGATATGAACAATGTTGCAATAATGCGTTCGCAGAGTTGGCAGCAGCTCTTGCTACCATTTTTTTTGTTGACGAAACCATTCTAATTAAACTTGCAAGTAAATTATCAGTAAAAGGGTCCATTGCTGTTTTAAGGTGTGATACCAAATCTTTAATTAATCCACTTGTAGCTAATGTAAGTGTTGTTCGTAAACTTGCAAGCTAGCGATCGTTTGTCACCCCACAAGTTGAATGATAAAGCGATTTTTTTAAAAAAAAAATTAAAATAAATTTTGACTATCTCATAAAAACGCTATTTTTTATTTTTTTAAAAAAAAAAAAAATCAAAATATTTAAACATACTGATGAAAGAATGCCATCCATAATTAATTTCAACCCATTTATAAATATATCCGGATATTGTGATGCTTCTCCTCTTGTCAAAGATCTTAGTCTGTTAATCCCTTTCTCACGAATTAACCAATTTTGTTCAGATTCTTTTCCTGAGAATGTTGGCAATAAGTTTTGAAACTCTTTTTCCAGTTCTCTTGCACTTTCGACCTATAAGAACGGGAAATAATAATCGGTGAAATATGTATGATTAGCGAGGTTAGATGTAATATTTTACTTACATGTATTAATCCAACTTCACTATCAGCAGAACTAGGAGGTCTAATAGCATGTTCCATAGGTTTCGGTATTTCTTCATTCTGAGTACCACCACTCATATAATCTTCCTCAGTGGGCTCTGTTACATTATCAGGATAAACATCAACGTCACTTATCTCAACATTAGAACCCATTTTTGATAATATGTATTCTACTATTGCGGGACGAACTGATTGTTTCTCAAGTTCGCGCTTAAGATCTGACTTTGCATGTGTCGCTGCACCACTGAAATTATTAATTGCATAAATATTCATTAAACTTTGTATGATTTAAAAAGATCAGCAGAATATCACCTCACCTGAAAAGTAAAACTATTCTGTCTTTTGCAGTTTCTCTCACTTGTTCATGAGGGTCTTCCAATAATTTTACCATATACGGTAACCATTGTTTTATAGAAAAATCTGAGCGTCTCCTAGTAGATGTCACTATCCATTGTAAAATCTGAAATTATGACAAACATGTAAGAATGTGTATTGACATTTAAAATATTAGAATAATATTTAAAATTTTCACCTGTTCGCGAACTCTCCATTGTTTATGTCCGTAAGCTGTCTCTTTAATTATAGTCGCTAATGGTCCTGTAATTGCATTACCACCATTCGTCGTGGCCGTCTCCCACATAGTCAATAAAACATTTGACGCTGCGTCTCTTGCTTTGTCTCTATTATCTCCTAGTTTATCTATAACTGCCGCTGCTAAAGCTATAACAACACCCTTAAGAAATGTAGGGTGTGTTTCAGATATTAAAGATATAAATGGATTCAGACAAATCAGTGCTGCATATGAAACTTGCTGTTGGGAGCCCTTGAGAGCATCTTTCAAAGCTGGTACGAGCTGATTAATTTCTTGTGGCTAAATAAAAAAAGGTTATAATTAGCATTGATTAAAAAATAATTGAATATTACTATTTCACCTCGAAACTTAAATTTCAATTTTTGGTTATTTTAATCGATCAAAATTAAGTTTTTTTTATTGTAATTTACTAACCTCCAGTGGAGTCTCCTCTAATAATTCATCTTCTAAATTTGTAATCGCTTCAATTTTTTTGTCCGTGTCTTTTTATATAAAATTAGTTTTTTTTGGAATATAATAACCAAAATTAAATATGTAACAGTATTTATTATCAGTTTTTTTTGCGACAGTAAGTTAAAAACAAACAAAACTTGATACATAAATAATAAAGACATACTATTCCCCTTTAATGCGAGAAGCACCTTCTCGACAACTTCGGTCATTGGTCCAAATCTGATAGTTTACGTGAGTATTTCTATTATGTAATATTTTTGCTCAAGGTTCCCATTCATATACTATAAAATTATATTTATTATTTTTTTTTTCCCTTTATTAAATCGTCTAGTAAAGATTTTTTTTTTGTTTACGGCAAAGAAGTGAAAAAAAGTCAAGAGTCAGGTGATAATCCTATGCTGTTACTAAATTTTAATTAGAATTATAATAAAACTGCGGGTTTATCATCATTTTCTGAGCGCGTGAGCGCGTGAAAAATTTATAAAAAGCAAAGTGACTTTTCAAAGAAAACAATGTGATCAAAGGAAGTTTTGGCTGCAGGAAAATAAAAATGTAACCATTCGCGAAAAAGAAAGTTCCACATTATTTAGTACTGTTATAGTTAGTTTCACACAAGTGTACATATTAAATAGAGCATCGCATTTAATAATTCTTTGGTTGCCCAAACAAATTGTCAAAATAGTTTAGCTTGAATTTTAAGACTATTATTTTAATGTAATAGTCTCTTGATATTTCAAAGATATTACTGCTTTAAAATTATTTATGTTATTTATGTGTAACATTCCATCTTGCAATAAAATAATATTATTATCTAGATTTACTATTATAAAAGTTTAACAAGCATATTAATTAATTAATTACCTTCAAAGTATTTTAATTTTATAATTTCTAAATACTTTGATATTATTAAAAAGTTTTCGAATACAAATTTTCACTTTAAATTAACTTATAATAAAGGTATAAGTCTTTATATACAGTAATTCCAATTACTTAGAAATATTAATATTAACAATTAGTAAAATTAATAACTAATTGATATTTTTTTATGATACATAATACAATACTTTTTTTATATATGATTTAAAATAGGTTCATATTTAAGATAGCAAAAGTAGGTTCATATTTAAGATAGCAGCATCAGTTCATTATAGTATTAGAGGTACAAGCTTTGCAGTTAGTGTAAATGGATCAATAAGTTAAAAAGAAAGAAAATTTTAAATGTGATTTGTGGTTGACTAAAGTTGATTAGTTGACTATTAATTATTTAAATTAATTAAAGAATAATTTCAGATATCAACTTTATTTGATATATTAATTGAAGCAGGTAAAAATTCTTTTAAAGTATCTAATATCTTAGCTTGGTCAATAACCTTTAAATGAGCTTCGTCTCCTAATGATCCTCCGTAAACTCCATCCACATAACATCTTGTAATAAAAGGTACAAAACTTTTAGCAAATGTTGCGTTAAACCCTTGAAGTACTGTTGTATCATGATTATTTTGAATGAGAAGTTTTCCGTAATCACGTAAGGACTCGGATATTGTCAAGAGGTTCTGGAAAAGATAAGCACCAAGAGTATAATATAATGATGTTGGAGCTATTACACGAAGTGAATTAAAAGCTGTTAAATAAGCATTCGTTAAATAAGCAATAGGCGGATAATCTAATAAAATAACCAATGGCGTGAATGACGAAGTCACAGTTGTTGATGAATTTGTTGAGGAAATTGATGATGATGATGAAGGTCGTATTGAAGGGATGGATTCAAACAAATTGACAGATTTTTTATCACTAATCATCCATGTGTTTGGAATATTTACGTTCTTAATAGCTTCATTCAATTCGTCTAAAAATACTTGTGTACCATCCGATATGATTTTCTTAACTATTCTTTCAACAGCTTCTTCAAAATAGCCTGTCACAAGATGTCTAAAATCAACACCGACTCGACCAAATGACATTCCACAATACATAAGTTGTGTCAATATTGAAGAAAGAGATTGAGTGTCTGTAATAAGAGGAGTGAACTCGGCAAGAACTAAAGTTAATTGATCAAGAATATGAATTGTGTAATCGGCGAGAACAGAAGTTGCTGTTAAATTACGTCTTCCAGAAGAATATTCGTTAGAATCTGAAGATGCCGTCGTCCATGGGGATGAAGGAGATCGTGGAATAATAAATGAAGAATAAATAGGTGTTGAAGCAAGTCCACCTACATCATCTGCAAAAATTGTTCTGTACTGAGTAACTATATCAAAAAAATGTTCCCTAAAGATATCGATCCATTTTTTCAAATAATGTACAGGATCTTTCCTTTCTTTATCAATTGTATGAATTAAAGACTGTAAATAGGCATCTCTAGAGAGCAAAAATACAAGACGTAATTCTGCTTCATCGAATGCTTCCATACGTCTCAGGTAACCAATTACTTTTAGACAGCTTGGCAACTTGATTTGTTCTCTTAAAAGGGAAATTAATTTTGATAACATTAATTGCATTGTTTGTTTAACATCTTGCTCAATTTGTTGAATCAAAGGTATATTAGAATGTTTTGAGACAAGTCTAGCAACATGTTGTGATAAATCCATGACTTCGGAATATAGACCATTTCGAACACAAGTATCCATTAATTGTGGAATTTCCAAAATTTCTAATAAATTATCATGATGTTCTAAAATTGTATTAATTTTATTACGCTGCAATGATATTTGTTTAGTTTGTTGAGAAAAAGACTCGGAGGAAGTTTCTAACAACGGTATTTCTGCAGTTAGAATGGATAATTGTGAAGATAAATTATCTAAAGAATTATTAATATCGGCGTAACAACTATTAACATGAATACATGACTTATATTCACGAAAAGAAAGTTCTGCCAACTCTTTTTGAATTTTAGATTCTTCATCTTTAACTAAAATAGGCTCGTGTTTAAGTGATTCTAGGGATAGAGATGTAAGTCTATCTAGGTAATCCTTACCCCATTCTTTATTAACTAATTCTTGTTGTGTTTCAGACAAAGACTCTATTAATTGACTCAACAAAATTTCCTGACTAGTATCAGAGAGTATTGAAGTATAAAACTTTTCGTTCTCGGTCATACTTATTATGCATTTTGTTAATTGATCGCTTAGATATTTTTAAGCTGATGCGTCACACGGTCATCCAGCGCAGATCAAAATCCGCTTTCTAAGTCTTGCTATATAAAAATTAAGTTGGGTTTCACAAACGCAAAGCAAATTTTCAGATAAGGATTGTATACTCCGTAGTCCGTGTTCTTTTTTCGCTTCTCACGAGAAAAACTGATTTAAAAACAATATTTTGATAGTAATTAATTTTCCTGCGAAATAACCAACTATTTTTACTTAGCAACATTTATATTACTTTACTTTTAAATTTTTATAGAAATTAAACATAAAATGGTTAGAAAACTAGGACCTAGATTTCATCGGATAGGTTCATTATACCCATATAAAGTTACTGGAGAAAAAAAATTACTTAGCCTTAATTTCGAGACAATATCTCCTAAAGATAGTAACTCTTCTACAAGTAGTAGTAACTCTTCAACTATTCCCAACTCCCCTACCGATTCGGCAACAATTGTCGGTTCACCTATATCAACTAGAGCTAGTTCTCCTTTCGAAATAGAATTTAGCGATACAAAATCACAAGATTATTTTTCTGAATTTACAACACTATTTTCGAAATCCTCATCCACGAGCGTTTCATCGGAATCAGCCGAAAGTTCAATCTCGACTCCGGATCATTATTCGACCAGCTCTGACTTGTCAACGCCATGTAATAGCAAATACAATCTATCATCTATTAGTCTTCATAAGACCTGTAATAATCAAGTCACCAAGAGAAAATCCTCAAAAAATAGTACACGTAAATTGAAATATGAGCAAATTATTACATTTAATGATAATGCTAGACTAAACGATGTGATATCAGAAGAACCATTTACAAATTCGGAGATAGTTCCAAATGTTAAATCGGATCATACATATGTAGAAGAAAATGTTGGGTTAATAGATCCTTCAATATATATTCAGGTATTTTATAAAAAAGATTATAATCTTATAATTTATTAAATATTTTTAATTTCTAATATTTTTTTACTAGGAACAAAATCCGGTCCAAGTGGTTGGAGATCCTAACTTATGGGAAGTACACCCGCCGTATTTCACGTATGATAATTATAATTCACCGAATGGTCCACTCAAGGATGGTGGATCGGGTGATGTGTTTTTGACGGATTGGATTGGCCAAGATTTCATTCTAGATTCTTAGTTTTGTTCTGTTAATGCAAATAAATAACATAATATGTACGCTTTTCCTTCTCTTTCTCTGGAAGAAATTAGATAAATGCTTTAATTCTTTGAGATGGTTTCCTTACAACATAAATTAGGAATGGAAAATATTAACACTTTTCCTTTTCTATTACAGCTGCTAAAGTGAAATAAGCTGGTTCTTGATAATTTTAATTGTTTTATTAGGATGTGTAAGATTAGATTAATCATAATTTAATATATAATAATGCTACAATATCATGTCTTGTTGGAAAAATAAGAGTCAGAATATCGTTGGATCAGATCGGTTAACAAAACCTAACAACAATAATATCACTCCCAAAAACACAAGTTTCACGACAAGGATAAGTTTTAAATGGTCGTTGAATTTTATTGAAACAGGATTTAGGGTTAGATAATGGATATCTTCGTGGGTCTCTTCTATAGAAAATAATTCATAATTAACAAATTTAGCTAAAGGGAAAATTTAAAACCTTTGTAAATAAAAAAGTAAAAATTAGATATTATTTTTGTAAAAAAAATATGCTATCATATTTGTCACCATTATATAACACACCCGTGTTTGCGGAAATTTTCGGCAGTAAACAAGTCGTTACACGTCGACTATTTTTTTTCCACAAGATCTTCATGCACTAATTTATTTAACAATTAATTACCATCAAATTACGTAAAATGATTTACGCGAAAATTTTTTATAGTAAATTAAGATACCGTCTTTGTAAGTTTTCATTATATCCAATATGGAAGACGATAATACTACAAATGTAGAGCTTAATACTTATTCAGAACCACCAACAATTATTACAGAGGATGAGAATGGAAATACTCATGCTGAAATCCCAACAGTAGAAATTAAGAAACTTAATCTTCCCTATCGTAAGGTAGTAATTACAAAAGGAAAAAAAAAATATTTATCATATTAATTTAGGAATAAATTATTTAATTAAAAGGGGTTCAGCAATGCTGGGGAAACTCTTACACCTGTCGAGCTAAAAGTTAGTGGAGAACTTCCTTCATGGTTAAGTGGTGAACTTTACACAGTAGGTCCTGGCACATACGACATAAAATACACCCGTATGATCGAAAGTGAAGGAGGATTTGAAAGTGCCACAGAAACATTCTCAATGGGTCACTGGTTTGATGGGTACGTCAAGCGATTCGTTTGTTTCTCATGACAAATATTTACTGATCATCATATTAATATCAGTTTACCACTCGTTAATCGATTTGAGTTTGATGGAAAGGATGGTAAGATTAAATATCGGTCAAGAATTACCAGTAGAAAATATGAAATTAAAATACGCGATCATCATGGTATCGTTACGAGACATCCTTTTACATTATTTAAGACTCATGCAAAGTAATAATAATGTTATTATTAATTATGTTAATTTATTTGAATAAAATTAATTTATATTATGTTTTTATATAAAAGTCAAACGCCTCTGGCAAAATTATTTGGACAAAAACGTACAGATAAACCTGAAATGGAACCTTGTTCCGTTAATATTAGTACAAAATTTCCATTTTACAAATCTGGCGAAAAACCTAAAGTGTTTTGTCAAAATCACGCAAGTCAAGTAAGTTATATTTTAATTGTCATGCTATAAACTTTATTTTATTAAATTTTAACCTCTTAATAGGTGGTAGAACTTGATGCACATGATCTTGCTCCTTCACGCGTTTATTCTTGGAACGATATAAATCCACTTTTTAGAGGTGATCATGCTTCTCCCCACCCACATTATGATGATAATACTGGGGAATTAATCAATTTTAACATGGAAGTTTATGCATTGGGAACAAAATATAATTTCTTTTCCATCACGGAAAAGAATCCAAATGGTGAATTTATCGCCAGTATATCAGCCAAAGCAAGTTATGTACATAGTTTTGCTGTGACACAGAGATTTATAATTTTGGTATATAATTAAATTAATATGTCATTCTTATTCTTCTAAATTAGAGAAAATTAAACATTTTATGTTATAGGTTGTATTTCCGTTTCATGGAAAAAATGCTGGTATTAATTTCAAGTGGTCGGATAATATTTTGGATTCGCTTACTTACAGACCAGAAGAATCTACACTATTTTACGTTATATCAAGAGCAGAAAAACAGCATGTTGCTACATATAGATCGGAACCATGTTTCGCGTAAGTTTGAGAACATTGAATTATTAATTTACAATTTCTTATTAATAATTTTTATAATAAATTAGGTTTCACCATATTAATGCTTTTGAAGATGATGATGATAATTTATATTTAGATATAGTATGCTACGATAATACAGAAATATGTTATGATTTATCACTTGAAAATTTAAGAACCGGATTAGTTGTTGAACTTCCTTTAGCTGAAGTTCGTAGATATGTTTTACAAAATATTCAAGTTGAATCAATAAAATTTTCGAAAATACCACAGGCAACGCAATTGGAGACTTTGCAGAATACTGTAGTTGGTCTATTCAAAAATGTTCAACCAGTTACATATCCTTTGCCTGTTGCAAATTATGTTCGTTGCTTAGATTCCACTTTAGAATTACCAAGGTATTTTTGAAAAATGATAATCATTTTTTAAACATCCGTAAATATTAAGTCATTATATATTTATATGAATTCAGAATCAATCCAAAATTCCATGGTCAGAAATATCGTTATGTCTATGGAATTGGTCTTTCGGCAAAAGCTGCCACTCAAGATGGTCAAATATGGGATTCACTTATTAAATGCGTAAGTATTGATATACCTCAACCTAATTATATCTTTATATTAATTTCCACGTTTAATACAGGATTTGGATACTAAAGAGGTTATCGCTATGTGGAGTGAAGAAGATTGTTACCCTTCTGAACCTGTTTTTGTGCCAGTCCCTGGTAATGACGACGATGAGGATGATGGTGTATTATTAAGTGTTATATTTGAAGGTCAAAAGGTTAAAAGTTATTTAGTGGTACTTGACGCAAAAACTTTATTGGAAAAGGCTCGTGTCGATTTACCACAAGTTATACCCTTATCTTTTGGACATGGTTCTTTTAGACAAAATATTTAATTTATTTATACTTGTATATGTCAAGACAAATAATATTTATATTTTAATTTTCAACCCATAAATAACAGATGAGATTACATATTTATTAGTAATCTAATTAATTATTCTTTTTATCATTCTTACTTTCCAATTTTCTTTACAGATCAGTTGGTTACAACCAAGTATGGTATAAATAAATTTAACCAACAAATAAATACTTACAATTACAATTTAAAATAAATGATACAAATTAAAGGTTTAATTCGTAAGAAAATATAATAAACAAAGTTAATTTAAACATTCATTAATCCTTTTAATTGATCTAATAAAGTATTATCAACTCGACTTAAATATTTTTGTCTAAACATTTCAGGCCCCCCATTAAGAGCTTCGCACTCACCAATCTTTAAATTGATATAATGAATTAGATTGGTAGTATGAATAGGATCTCGTTGTAATAACTATAGTTGTAACATAATCAAGTTAGTTTAAATAAAATATAAAAATGAACTTTAAATATAAAGAACTTACAGCCCGTTTACGTTTAGTTTCAGGTGATGCATCACTATCATCAATTTCATTTTTTCCCACATATTCTTCTTGCCAATAAACTAATGCGCTATAACCCAAAGTATTAAAAAAAATAATGTCAAAAAATAATATCAAAAGTATTAAACTTACTCTCCACCACCGGACTCTTTAACTTCGCTCAATACATCACACCAAACTCCAATAAATTGGGCTAAGAAGCCTAAAATGGTGGAATTTGTTGTAGCGATCAATGTAGCAAAAGCCATTGCACTCAATTTCCGTTGTTTCGGATGTCCAATATTATCAAACTGGTGAGAGTTTTATTATTAAACAAATTAATTTATAATATTATAATATAAATAAAAATGATTAAATAATATACCTTATCTAACCATGTTTCCAAGACTTTCTTTAATAAATCTTCTTGTTGAATATTATATTGTTGACTGGCGATTGTGATGAAATGTAAAAAAAATACTGGATCATTAATAATAATCCTAGCTAATATTGAGACATAACTTACAAGAACGTAAGGATTTTCCTGTTGCAAAATAAATAAATTAATAAAGATTATATCTTAAATAATAACACAACAAAAAAAATACCTCATTAACAGAAATTATAGTATTGAGTAATTTTCCGAGAAGTCCCGTGCTAATAATCGATTCTTTCAATAATCCAAATGGACAAGCTTGTAAAGTAACATCAATAACATAAATGATAGCACGACATGCTTCAGGTCTTAGGTCCCCGAATAATCGAGTAAATGCGTCCATGATAGGAATTGAATATGACTGTTGACAAACAATGCAATATCAATAAATGTATAAAATAAATAAAAGCGAACAAGTGATAAAAAAATTCAAAAAAACACCTGTACAATCATTTCAGGTACCAAAAGAATATAACTTTCTATAATTCTAAGTACTCTCTTGAGTGTTTCAGACCCAAATTCCAATAACCCAATAGCAGCGGGGACGAGATTAAATAGTAGTGGTGTGCATTCAACGGTATTTTCAAGAATTGCCAACCAAAGGTCCAAGCCGTCTTCTAAAAGGTATACGTGTTCTTCCTGAACAAATGAGCGAATGATGTCTTGCGAACATTATGATGAGAGTAATCATTGCATTATTTAATATGTAAATATTATTCAACTTACAGTGTTTGGACTAACGCTGTATTGAATGATTGGTATTATAAACTCATGAAGATTAACAGACTGCTCCCACAAAGCCTAATATAAACACAACGCGTGTAAAATTTTTTAATTTAAAATTTAAATAAATATAATATAATATATTTATTTTACCTGAACAAGTTTGGTTAATATCACAAGGATAGCTGGTTTGAATAAATATTCGCTTTGAGCAACTTGCCACAATGTTGGTAATAAGTTTGTAATTTTCTCAGAAAAGGGTGCAATCTAAAAATTAAAATTGAGTATACAATTTTCAGGAAAAAAAAACATATAACATTTACCTGTGAATCCATTCTTTCCACTATTAGGGATAAGCAGTTCAAAATCTTCAAGCGGCTTTCAAATTGTTCCACCTCTCCAATTAAACGCGTTAATAATGTGATTGCACGATCAAGATATGGAACAAATCCGTCTGAATCAAAATCCCACTCATCTACACGTACTTAAAAGTTAAGAATAATAAAGTCTTTGCAAAAAAATGTAAATAAATACTAGATATTATCAAGGATATAATTTTTTAGATTAATTGCAGCAGTCAATCTAACGACAAAATCCTCTTCCGGGTTTATAAAATATGTCATAACGTCGTAAACTCTAGGTCGATTTTCTTTTGACAATTTAACACATACCCATCTTCCAATAATCCATGCAATACGACGCCGAATTATTTTGAAACTAAATTTTAAGTCAACATTATAGTCTTATTACAAAATCAACAATTTTTTTAAAGAAAACTGAAAATATAATCAATCCAATCTTGCCTAGGATCATTATTTGCTGCTTCAATCAACAAATTATTAACAAGCCAAGAATCGAAATCAAGCACATCATATAATTCATGTGAACCTAATCCAACTGCACAATAAATAGCGTCTTTAACTAACAAATTATCTGATTGAGTCACTAGTAAATTTGGAACCAAAGTTATATAATTAATTTCAAATTACTTGATATTCAGATTCCAAGATAAAATAAACTTACAAGCTACATAATTAAACAAAAAACAAGTAATCGAGTTAGATATCATTTTTTTTTTATAAAAAAAAAAAATTGTTAATAAATAATAATTGATCAGAAAAAGCCAATTATGGCAGTTTAATCTTTGACTATAAATGTCTAATAAGACCGTCGTGAATATGAAGTTTCATCGTTTGCTAGTAAAATCAAAAAAATTTGAGTTTTAAATAAGAGAAAATACTCACATGCGGCATTTTCCAACAATTTCAAAATTTTTGGTGACAGAAGGTCGCGACATTGGGTGATTAAATCTGTAAATACTTTTTCGGCACAGGGCTAGAACATTAAATAAGAATTTTTTAAAAATAGTAGATATCAAAAAATAAAAAAAAAATTATAATACTAATCGAATTCAAACACACTCTTATCTGATATTCCCAATGATCAATCTCATCAAAATTAACCCAGCCTTCGGGATCTTCTTCCCACATTACCAAATCTTCTTTTCTCAAAATTAGATAACTTGATATTAATAATTCGGCAAATGATTCGACGAAGCTTTGTGTCAATATTTGTTCCTCTAATATTTTCATCGCATCAGAAATACGCAGATCTTCGCTTTCTGTTTATGCAATAAAGTTATATTCAACGAACTTAAATTCTAAAAATTAGTTATAAGAGTATATATACCTTTGATATCTTGATTATAACTAGACTTCCTTATGATGCCTTTCAATAACAATAAGGCTTGAATTAAAATCTTTTCTGTACCATACGGTTGGGTCGCCATTTCTATATCAAAATAAAAAATAAGATTAAATAAAAGAAGTAATTATCATGAAAAATATAAATATAGATTTTTAAATTAATTTGCATGCCTGTTTCGTACGATTTACTATGCATGACGAGCAATTGCCAATAATAATGAATTACATCCCTAGATCCTGGAGTCATTATAAATGAAATTGGACGCAATTTTTGTAACTCAATATAAAATTTCCCAATTAAATTAACTTTGGAATCTAAAAGTTCAAAAATCGGAGAGGATGTATCTTGAGATGAATTTCCTTAAAAAAAGTAATAATAAAAATATATATATATTGATTATGTGGTAATTATCAAAGCAAAACTTAATTGTATGACTATAAAAAAAAATTACTTAAAGTATAAAATTTTTGTAAATGATCAAATGCTAAAACAAAGAATGCCTAAGATAGAATAAGATTATTTAAATATAGTGATCGTAAAAATTAAAATCTTCTATAATCAATATTATTGTCTCATTCACCTTGGTCTCATCAACTTTACTAATGTCTTGAAAACCATGAACAATCAAACGTCTGATAGATTTCAGCGCAATTAGTGACGTTTCTAAATCCGTTGCATTTACAATATCATTAGAAGTTGAAATCATATTGAAGAATCGATTGGTGTGCTCCACGTAAATGCTAGCCACATTACGAAGTAATTCTGGCGCAATCTTTTTAATTTATAAAAAGATTTTAACTAAAAAAAAATGGAAATTTATTTAAAAGATAAATTAAAGATAAAAACCTGTTCGAACATTTTCCGATCTGGTCCGAATGTTTTCGAACATAACGCTTTCACTACTAAATGTAATGTTAAAATTGCTCTCTTTTGTATCAAGATTGCTGAATTAACATTCATTGTTGAATGAATTATGGATAACAAATTTTGAAGTAGATCTGGCCTTAAATTATTGATAATTTGTTTAAATATATGATATATTTATGTAACACTAATGTATAATTTCAATACATACCATTCGTTAGGAAAATCAATGCGGGCAATTTTAGATACTAAAACTGCACTTTGGGTTGCAAGCTAGAATATTAAAAAACGCGTTAATTAGTTGCGGTAAAATTGATTCAGCATTATGAGTTGGTTCATACCTGATTATGGCTTTCGTCCATAAAAGACAAAAGTTGGCTTCTAATCTTCGCTTTCTCCTCGGGGTTGATGGTACTTACGATAGGAAAGGATAAATCAATTAATATAAAATTAACCAATATAAAATTTTTGAGTAAAAGAAAAAGATCTTAATTATCACCTTTTCGCTGTTTTACGCCAGTATTTATCGACACCATTTTTGAAAAATATAACTCCAAAAAATCGGATATTCACATCAACGGACTTGTCATTGATAATTTCCTACAAACAACGCCATTTACGAAGTTAAATATAATTAATAATAAAAATATATATATATAATAAAATAAATTAATTAATAATCAGATAGTTTCATGTAAATTATGATTGTCTTTTCTTAATGATAATTATATCATTCACATACTAATTATTATTAATCGAATCGATTTTTTCAGGATTATCGAATTATGAATGCATCAAAGAAAGATAAATTATAAATTAATCAAATTAATATAAATTAATATATGATTTGAATAATAATTAATGATAATAATTTAATTTGCATTTTTACACAATAATTTTCCAAGTAATATTTTAATTATCAATTCTTTGGCACAAGCTTTATAACTTCAAAATAAAACCACGAAACTTCTTTACATAGTTCTTTTACATATTATATTACGGGGCATAATTATATTCTTTCTAGTACAACCTCAACTTCAGAATAATATGTTTCACTCACCAATAACGTAATATAAAACTCTGGAACTACTTCCCACTGTTTAAGTTGTACCTCGGCAAGTTTTATACGTTCTGGTTGCTGTGAGGTCGCTTCTGCTAAGGTTTGTAAAAGTTGATCGCGAGGGGAAGACATAATTTTTTAGTAAAATTTGATTATAAAAAATTTTTTTTAAAAAAAAAAACTGTACCATATACCCGGTTTGTGGATTTCCCGGATAAAGCACAGTCGATCGTTGCCAAATTTATTTATTAATCCCAAAATTAGTACTAAAAGCGCGAAATATTTCACGTTACAGTTTTATACTAAACTTTGTTTCTAAAAAGAATGGATCTTTTTTGTGGCGAAAGTTTTTTTTTAAATTAAATTTAAAATTATACATGTAATTAACAGGGTTTGGGGTTTCGAGTCTCGTGTTCGCTGCACTTCAAACCGGTTTTAGTGATTCTTTTTTTATCCTACAGCACAAACATATATAATTACGTATCAGATATTTTTAAGGAAACAAGAGATAATATGAATCATTATTATATAATAATATGAAATGTAGCACAAATATGTAGCATAATTAATTTAATAGTGCGAATCGATTTTACCTAAATTGTCATTAGCATTATTAGGAACTTCTTTTTTTCTTTTTTTCAAAGTTTTAATAATTAAGTAGTTGGCAATCTTTCAATAAAGAAGACTTTTTTAACAATATTCTAATGGATTATCAATTTGACGGAGAAGGACCGAATTCCGATTCTTTATTACATACAGCAAAAACTATTTAAAAAGCCTTTTATTTATTTGTCATACAATAGCGGCCGCCTCTGACAAACAATGAATAGCAATACTTAGACGAATAAGTTGCAGTGCAACAACCAAGATCAACATTATGATGAGTGCCCCTACTCTGCCCCTTGCACCCTGTATGGCTTTAAGTTGCTTCTTTGTAGTTAGTAATTTTGTACTGTCCGTAGTAACTAAAATGATTTCATAGTGCCAAGTTTTTTGTAAACTGATAATTAAAATTGGAAATTACGCGTTTTAAAAAAATATCACAATAATATCGTAATATATTTTATTGTTTAGTATTGTATGTGGCTTTGAAATTTCATTGCCCCAAACACATTTAACTTGTAAATTGTATGAATTTTATTACACTTTGATTTCTTGTTTTCGATAGGAGAAATTTTGTATTTCACGTTTCAAGATGAAAATCATTTCAAAATAGTTCAAGTCTTTAAACTTTTGGAACATTACTGCGCGCTGAAAAAAAAAAATTAAAAAAAATAGTAATCAAAGAATTTTACTTAATAAATTTCCTTACTATATGTACTATAGTTCATTTGAATATTGTCAATCAATTTATTCACTTAAGCTTAGCCTATCGATTCATTGCCTTAAAAAGTTACTGTCAATCGTGTCTTAGCCCAGAGGTCCTGACACTAACTTATGTGATTCCTGCATGAATTTTCCATCATTGATTATTGAATATTGATCTTTCGATTTATTACAAAACTCTCTCTCGTACTAGACACCGTTCCTTGCATGTGAAGAAGCGTTTTCCGAATTTCACTCTGGGTTTCGCTTGTTCTATTCTTTTAAGGTATGATATATTTTGCATATATCATGTTTTTAACATTCCAGAAATTTATTACACAAAGCTTCTTTTGCTAAGAGTTTCGAGAGGTTTGATGGTTTGAAAATTAAATTTAAACCATAAAATCGTAATTTTTTTTAGTCTATGTTCTTCTCACCTATACTTTTTTGTAACTTAATCAAAAAATTCTTTTTCTTTTGTTAAGAAAACCGAAATGTTGATTTCGAAAGTCACTTTATAGGTAAAAGAAACCCCTCTCTTAACGATTTTTTTTAATTAATATGTAGGTGTCTATATAAAGCGCTTTTCTTAACATCGCCTATAATATCCAAAAAGAGAAGTAGCGGCTCTTAACAAGATAAACCAGTAAGTTTCTTTCAATATTAAACGCTTACATATATTATTAACATTATTAATAAATAAAACCTTATTAATAAAATTGTAGCAAGCAAACTTTTTGCCATTCTTTTACGAAAACCTACAAAGTTTTCGTTTTTTTCTTTCTGTAAGTAAGTGTCTCGTTCACTCGTAAATAGTGAGAAACTTTGTTTCCCAATTTTTTATGATTTTTCAAATAATTACATAGGATTACAAAATTATGCTTCAACAATTTATCACGCTCGATCTTCAACATTCCCCTCAACCAACTGACTCCTTTGTTAGGTGATTGGTTGGATTTCCTATACAATAAATAATAGAAGAGCTAAAAGAAGGTTTATTTTCTCTGGGACAGTATTTTTACCTTATAATACGGCAACGGGACTTCGACGGGCGGCCGGATATTTTTGAATACGCACAGGTGCCAAACGATTTGGAACAATATGCAGGATCCGATCGGTTCGAATTTAGAAGCATTGAAGCTACAATCCGACAATGCGGAATTGGCAAAGGCATACTGGTCGATTGGTAATTATTCACAGGCAATTTTCCACGCAAAAAAATCGGTATTACACAAACCTACAGATTGGTTATGGATCGACTCCGTTATCACAGCGTTCATGAATCCAAATTACAATTACTACAACGAAGCATTAGAAGTATTGGATGCCGTGATTAACAGGTTAGATACAATAAAACACACGATACCAAATACCGAGTGGAATCAAATACAATCATTATATCGACGGCGAGCATTGGTTAAGCAATATCTTAACAGATACGAGGATTCTATTGAAGATCTCATAAATATTATCGTAGTAGCTTGTGCAAATTTTCAATTTGTAGATTTAATAGATCATATACTAGGATGTTGCAACTTTTATGGCTATTGCATACAAAATTACGTGAATGTTCAGCAAACTGTTACTTTATTAAACGGTTTACAACCTCATTCTTTCGTAAATTCTCCTATACCAAGTTTCTTCATGGATCCTGATTTTGTTCTCGGGGGTTTATTACCTTACCTATTCCCATTTGCTCATGGATATCTGCCTGGTCACACTTTTATAATTAGTTTACATGATCGTGAGTATGCACAAAAAGATGCCGCTTTAGGATTCCTTGAAATTTCAAAGGCATTTGAAGCAGATCCAGTAAAATGTTCAAAATTTTTAAATGCAACACCAATGCGATCAATATCTTTACTTCTGTTATATATGTCAATTGCAACATATCCAACAACTGAGTCATTTCTTTTTCTTGCAGAAGTATTGACTAAAATTTCTGATTCAGTTACGATGGGTCAAGAAATCCTTGATGGACCAAATTTAGCTTTGAAATTTTTATACAAGGCAGTTTTTTTTGATCCCAATAATCCAGATATTTATATGGCGATGGCGGATATTTACTGGCGCCAAAATAATTTAATCGAGGCTACTTTTATTTATCAAAAGATATACGGAAGAAACAAACCCCACGATGAAGAAATAACAAGAAGATACGTTTTAGGATGTAATGTTACTGGAGAAAAATGCAGGAGTGAAGGAAGATGGGAAGAGGCTTTAAGACTATTTGAAACTGCTTACACAATCAATCCAGATAACACTGATGCTTTGACATTTTATTCGCAAGCGCTCAATTCAGTTTGCGATTGGTCAAAACGGGGTGGTGTTGGAGTCTTCTATGTAGATCAATGCAATACATTGATGTTCTCTAACATTCCTAAAAAAGTCGGAATGATGGGAAGAGTATCTGATGTTGTTGACAACTTTATAAAGGAGGGGGCAAAGTTTGGTGAAGGAATTATTCAACAATTTGGAGGGTTGCATAAACTCTTCAATTTTCTTTGCGTTGGACTTAATTCCGATGACCCATGCTATAAATGGTTAAAAGCAAGGGCTGATTTGATAGCTTCTACAAAAAATCCACCGAGTTTAAAAAATGAAGGCGGGTTTATATTAAGACTTATTAACAAATTAACACGTCGTGTGCAACATCGTTGGTACATTGAATATTATGGGAATCAAATTATTTCACAGACTTCTCAGGTAGCAATTTGTAAAAGTGGTGATAAATATAATGAAAAATATCTTCGTCCAAAAGTTCCACCCGGTTTACCACAACCTTCGCCAAGTCCTGTACAGCCATGGTATACATTTACTTATGATCTTAGTCCAAAGCAAATAAGATTAGTCAGTCACCGTCAAGCATTACATATTGCATATGATGCATTTACTGCCAATTGGCTCCCAGATACCGTTTTTCCTCCACCGCCACCGCCATCTCCAAGAATTAAAGTTGGATATGTATCATTTGACCTAAAAGATCATCCACTTGCTCATTTAATGCAATCAGTTTTTGAACTTCATAACAGACAGCATTTTGAGATTTATGTTTATGCATTAAATCCTGATGATGGTTCTGCATATAGACAAAAAATTATGACAGGTTGTGATCACCCTAGAGATTGTAGCGGAAGCTCAACAAAAGATATATGTGATCAGATCATTCAAGATGGCATCCATATATTGATCAACTTAAACGGATATACAGCAGGAGACCGTAATCACATTTTTGCTGCTAGGCCTGCACCTATTCAAATGCAACATATGGGCTTTGCAGGTACGATGGGTGGTCTTTGGACTGATTATAATATTGTTGATGATATGATTGTTCCACCTCTGTTGACAAATGAAGAAGCATTTAAACGCAAAACAAAACATCACGTGGGTGATATTTGTGAAGAGTTAGATCCTGAAGAAGATGATGATAATATTTGGGTATACCCTGAGAAAATTCTCAGCCTTCCAGATACCTACTTTGTAAATGATCATAAACAAGGATTCCGTGATGATCAACACATAAGAGGCACAGTTTTTGCAACTCGTGCAGATATCCAATGGACTCTTGAGGAAGACAAACGTTGGAAGATGCGACAACAACTATTTCCAGGTGTTCCCGATGATTGGGTGATTTTTGCAAACTTTAACCAATTATATAAAGTGAGTTAATTCAATTACACAATTTCGTTACGTTCATAGAGATTAACAAATGTGCTAAACCTTGCTTTCTTTTTAGATTGACCCAGTTATATTCAAGGTGTGGTTGGAGATTCTTGCACAGGTACCTAATTCTATCCTATGGTTATTAAAATTTCCTGCGGATGGAGCCAAGAATTTGTACAGCACCGCTTTACAATGGGCTGGTATAGGGGTTGCAACCCGCATTCATTTTACAGATATAGCTGGTAAACATGATCACATTCTTCGTGGAAGAGTTGCCGATTTAGTTTTAGACACACCACAAGTAAATGCGCATACTACAGCGTGTGATATTTTATGGTCTGGAACTCCAATCTTAACGCTCTGCGGTAATGATCATAAATGGTGCTCGAGAGTTGCTGCCTCAATATGCAAAGCAACCGGGTCCGGTGATAAAATGATTGCCAAAGATCATGCTGATTATGAACGAAGGGCGATCGAGCTTGCCAGGTCCGTAAGGTATAATTATTGGCAACCTAATTTTCCACATTTTATGCCCCCGCAAGTTCATCGAAGTGGGGTTGGTGAACTTATTGAATTGAGGAAAAAACTCTTTCTAAATCGCGATAATATGAGGCTTTTTGATACCCAAAGAATTGTATCAAATCTTGAAAAAGGTTATGCTATGGCTTGGGAATTTTGGGTTTCTGATAATGAAAAGAATATCAAGGTATTATGAAAATGGAAAAGGAAGAATTAATTAATGACCAAGTTTAGTTTAATTGATTATATGCAAAGAATTTATTTAATTCCCTTTGTAAAACTCTTTTGGAAGATTATAGGAAAATGTGTAAAAGAATAAGGATATTATTTAGTTGTATAACAAAGGTATTGTTGAACCCGCATTACTTCATTTAACAAGGCTTCAAAAAAAATTTTTTTTTCTCTCTCTCTTTAGTAATAAAAAATTTCGATGATCCTATAATTTATAGGACTTGTAAATACTAAATCTTTAACCTACGAAGAAATTTTTTTATTAATATTGTAGTAAGATAGAATCATTACAAAACGTTTTTTTTTTTCAAATATTAACTGCATTTTTCATTATATTCTTGCGAATATCATACCAATAGATTCAGTATAAATTTTATTTTTTTTAAAAAAAAACCTTTAATTTAAAATCAATGTAATTTTTTATTTCTTTTTTTCCTTTTATTTCAATAAATGATATAGTCCAATTATGTGACAAATAAGATGTGTTTACTTTGATATAAAAGTATGTAATAAAAACCTAAATTATGGCACCTGTAGAAATTCATGTTATTCGAATTAATAAATGATCACGTGCCTGATGGATTAGTTGATAGAAAATTATATGGTAAAAAATAGACATCTTGGTACCCGGGTTAGAAAGGAGTCGGCGGGGGCACCTACCACCGTTCAGGTGGTCTACCAATTTGTATGGAGCCTCATACAGCTCTAACCTGAGGTGGTATATATAGACGACCAATCTCGACCAATGCTGGCAATGCATTACCCCTTCGGGGATGGATATAGGGGTAGGCATACAGTTTGTTTAGAACATCATCTAATATTACTAAAAAAAATTATGTAAAAAAAATAAAGAATACCTGTCCAATAAATTATCAATGTAAGTTACTTTTACTATTGCATTTTTATTATAATATATCAATTTAAAATTTAACAATTACAATGCATTTTTGGCCAAAATTATGTTTTTTTACTATAACTAGTAGTACCTGTTGACTACGTCAACATTCTATTCTTTACTTTATATATATAATAATAATTATAATGTAAAATAAATCTATATATAAAAAATAATAAACTATATAAGTAAATTTACATTTTACATTTATTTCTACAATTTTTAGTATTACTATAATTTCTAACTATTGAAAACTTCTAAATATACAATATTATAAGTACAATTTATTAAATTTCTATTATCATCTTTAGTGGTAATTATCTTTAAATTTTTTTTTTGTTGTTACCCTTGAACAGGCAACATAAAATTGTCCATGAGCAAATACAGGAGTTGGAAGATATAATCCAACCCAATTTAATGTCTGACCTTGTGACTTATTAATAGTCATTACAAAAGCTGGTTGTATTGGAAATTGACGATGCTTAAAAGTAAAAGGTAAAGTAGCATTTGTAGGAGACAGGGTAACACATGGAAGAAAAGCACGTTTTCCAGCATGTTTTCCAGTAATAATTTCTGCCTCAATAACATTCTTCTGAAAAGAACAACAAACTAACCTTTTCCCATTACACAGGCCATCTGATGGACTAATATTTTGTAATAATAGTATTGGAGATCCTTTTTTTAATACTAATTTATAAGGTGGAAGTCCACCAATTGTTATGGAATTTAAAAACTCAATGGGATACTGATATTCTGAATTTGATTGTTCTTCTATTGTATCAGCACTGTAATCCGCAGGAACTAAGCATAAATTAATGAAAATTTATGGTCGTAGGTAAACAGGAATTATAGAATTAAAGAAATGATATTAAAGATTAGCAAGCAATGCAGATCATGAATATGAATTGATTCAGGATATAAAAGAAAGGAATCACTCCAGGTCATGAGTATAAACTGATTCCACGATATGATACACAAATGATGGATATCACTCCTATCATATGAGTATAAACTGGGTATATGATGTCATTTATTACATCATAGTTTTAGCAAATTCTATTTGCGTAATTTTTATATTTAAGTTTTGTATAAATAGAGGACTTATTCGTAATGAATAAATTCAGAATTGATTTGAAGTTGAATTTTTAATTTTTGTTTATCACGTGTTTTGTATTACTAACCTTGTTCAATTTTTATTTATAAAGCCTGATTCAATGTGGCGACTCTTAGGAGGAGATCAGCCTGCTTCATATGATGCATACTCCGAAAAAGAAAATGATCATCATCACATGATCATAGGTGCTAAATTTGGATTATAAGACGATTATATAATAATAACGATCTTGTCGAATAAAAATAGAAATATAATTTTGTTAGTAAGTCACTGACAGATATTATTAGTCAATATTTTATTTTTAGAATTTATTTTTGGATCTCACTGGGATTGGAAATTTTGATGGGTTCAAAGAGGAACCAATGGATTATTAAGGATCTATCGAATCTTAAAATCTAATTTCAAAAGTTTAAGGTGAAAAAGCGGTAAGTATGGAGTTATGTGAGTAATCACTTAATTGATAGAAAGCACAAGGAGTCTTCTTTCAGGAAATTGCGAAAGTACCTGAGAGATTCCATTTGGAGAAATAAAAATGAATTTTAAAGGTAAAGGTTAATAATGGGAAAACACCAACAATTTATCTGAGGTTCATCTATAGCATATGGGCTACGCTAAGTTTAAATTTTGGATAATGCTCTAAATTGAGAAAATATGTACCTTCAGCATGAAGAGAATCACATATAGTTACGTCAAATTGGATACTCAAAATCAACAATCCAGAAGTTGTTTTGAGATGAAGGATACAGATTGTAAAGAAACCTACTGTCAAGAAATACGTAATAAACAAAAATGTTGACAAACCTGGAAACTATCATACTTTTACTGCAGTGAATAGGTAGTATTACCAATGGGTAAAAATAGAGATAAGCCCAGTATAAATCAAACTAGTTGAAGGCAGAGAACAGCGATTGGTTAGTTAAATCCAATGGATAGCTGATGACTTTTAATGATTATAAATGATGTTGAAAGGTTAGATTCACCTGAAAAGAGGATACGCCAATCATTAGTTGAAGAAAATGAAAATTAAATTTAAAAATAGAAGATTTTGGTAAGTTGTGGATAAAAGCGTACCCAGAAGCTGACGCTATATAAATGATAGCAGGGACAGGAAAGTTATAAATAGAAATTTTAAAAATATAAAGTTGGAATTTATAGAAGTTGAATGATATAAAATTAAAGAATTTTAGAAGAATATCAGAAGAAGATGAAATTGACACTGATAAAAAGGAACCGATAAGATTATGGAATATGGGTTACGAAATGGATGAAATAACAGGAAAAGTATAAAAAGGATAAGATTTTGATCAAAACAAGATAAATTATCAGGATCAATTAAATGCAAGAATCAATAAAGAATTTAGATAAATATTTGGGAAATATCACCATCGAAATGATCAAAATTGGAAAAGAAATAGAAGAACTGAAAGATCAATATAAAAATGAAGTCAATGTAAGTCAGCATAAAGAAAAGTCTATAGATCAAGTAATATGTTATCGATGTAATAATAGAGGACATTATTCAAATAGATGCAAAGTAGAAGGAAGGAATACCATTAAAAGGAAAAACAATATATGTGAAAATTGTGGAGGAAAAGGACATTTTATTAAAGAATGTACAAGTGACAAAGTGGAAAAAGACCAGATAGTATGTTATAGATGCAATAACATAGGGTATTATGCAAGTAACTGTATTAAGAAAAGGGCAACACAAATTGATTATGGAGTATCAGGATAAGACAGAATAGAAATTTACTATTACAATAATGATTACTATGATGATGAAAATATATATAAAAAAAAATTATCAAGTGATGAAAAAGAAGAAGAAAAAGATATAAAAGGACCTGAAATTGGCTCAAGTAAAGAAAAATCCAATAAAGAAAAGGAAATACCAATAATACCAATAACATCTGTTCGGTTAAATTAAAATTTGAAAAGCAAAAATGATGAATAGTTTAGAATCTGACAAAGAAAATGAAGTAATAGTAAAAGTGAGTATTACAGAAAATGAAGTAATGGTAATAACACAAGAAATGGAATTGAAAACAGAAAAACAAAGAAGGACATATGAAAGGATAATCAGAGAATTACAGAATTTCATGATAGACACGATATATGAAAATTATGAACAGAGATTTGAAAGAAAAATGTCTAAAGTAAATATCGAAGATGATAATGAAAGTGTAAAGAATCACAATGATGGTGATATCAGAAATGATAATGACATTATTATAGAAAAATAACGAGGATAATGATAGTGAAAATATAGCAGAACACGATGAATATAATAATGATCTGAAAATTGGAAAAACAATTATCATAATAACGATAATGGAAATAGTAATGTTGAAAATACCACAAATCGAAGGAATAATGATACCAACATAAGAAACAATAAAGAAAATATTGAAGATCAGGAAAATTGTGATAATAATAATATCAGAAATGGTAATATTGAGAATATTATAGATCAAGAAAATAACAACAATGAAAATCAAAATAATGAAAAAATAATGGAAACAAATGATAATGCTGATGATGAAACAATACACATGAGTAAGATGTGAGAAATGTTTATGGAAATTTGTAATTAAGAAATGGGATAGTATTGTTGAAGAAGAAAAAAAAATGATTGAACAAGCTAAAGAAATGAATATTAATTTGGAGGGTTGTAATAATTTTAGTAAACAAAAGTTTGACTGGGAATTGAGAAATGGTAGATGTGTTAACAGAAAAAAAATGTATAATGGTAGATGTGTTGAGAGAAAAAGAATGTATGTATAAAGTTATTGATCTTTATTGAATTAATATATATAATTATTATGAGATGAAAATCAAGAATTAAGGGTTAATTTTGAAAACGGTGATGGAAAAAAGAGAATTATTGATAAAACCAAAAGTAGTTGTATTTACCAAGAAAGGAAAATCAAGAATAAAGAAAAATTGGATAATCTAATCAAAGAATTGATAACTGAAGAATCTAATGTATTAGAAGAAGGAATTGATGAGGAATCAGAGGATATAATAAAATTATTCAGAAAAATGGAACGCAATAAATTAAAACAAATAATAAATGGATACCAATTTGCAAAAATGGTAATTAAAGAAAGAGAGGAATAATATGAAAGGATGGATAGATAAAAAGCTGCTGAAGAAATAAATAAAAGAATATGGAAAGGAATGCCAGGATATAATTACAGAACAATAGCAAATAATGTATTAAAAGCAATTAAAGTTTATGAAATGTTCAGTAAAATTGGAGGAAGAAAAAGGATTATGAGAATTAAAGAATTTACATGGTCATACATTTCCAAACTAAATGAAGAAAAAAAACAGTATGTAATAAACAAAGTGAAAGCAATAGAAAAAGCAGGTAATAGATCAAATGAAAATTAATAATAAAAAGGATAA